GGAAGCCTGCTTCTCCCTCTCCCACTCCCCCTGCTTGTGTTCCCTCTCTCGCTATTTCTCTGTCAAATAAATAAATAAAATCTTAAAAAAAAAATAAATAAAAAAATAAAATGGACATAATGATAAGAGTTATCACAAAGGGATGTTGTGAGGATGAATGAAATGAAATGATACCTATAAGATGCCAGTGCCAAGCATATGGCAATCACTCAATACATGATGGGGTTTATTATGACTATTATTATAATGGACACTCAGTAAGTGGCAGTCATGGTTTGAAATTTCTAAACCCTAACTCCCTTAATATATATATAGGATATAATCAGACAAGTTGAACTGTTTATTCTGATAAAATCTTCCTTACCTGTTGGAAGGAATCTTCGAACAGTGTCTGCCGGGATACATTGATCTTTACATGACTGGGTAGTGCATTTGACTAAAAACAAAAATAATATCGTGATATCATGTAAGCTGTAGTATAGGTATAGTATAAAGATAAGACTAAATGATTATGAACATAAGATTTATTTACCACTGTAGTACCTGGCACAAATAACGAAAGTGAGCAAGTTTCCACCTAAAGCTGCGTTCATAAGCAATCTGTGGACCACCTTTAGTTCTAAAGAAAAAAAAAAGAAACCACACATTAATTCAAAATAAAATTGGATATGTAATATTCAGTATGAAACTGGAGTATACCAGAGTCCTACAAATGACCACAGGAAAGTTATTTGCTGGGAGAGAAGATACATTTGGTGGGCCAAGAGGCTTGCACAATGAGGACACACACAAAGAGTGAGATTGTATGTATGTATGGGTCTTTTGTAAAGAAGTTAGTTAAATGAAATATTAAAGTCTATTACTATTAAAAAAACAAAACCTTTGATAATACTTAAATCTAAGGAGGATAGAAGCTCTAGACAGAAGAGACAGGGAAGGAAATTCTACCACAACTTAAACCTAATCTCAAACTGAAAGAAACATTGCTGAGACAGTATGCAAAGCAAAAGCAATTTCTAAGAATAAGTGACATCCAGGTCACACGGCTCAACTGATCAGTGAGGGAAGAGGCAGAATGGGTGGCACGGAAGGATGGGCTCAATTCACACTGAGAAGGCCTGAAGCTTCCGCCTTTTGAGGGAGAGCCTAAGATACAAGCACAAAGTTCTTTTATGATCTTAGGGAACATTCTGGAATGGATGGAAAATGTTCTCATGTTGTTAGGTTCAAGTGAATTCACTGAACAAATATTTGTGAAATATATAGTATTACCTGACATTCTTCTAACCAATGAGAGTGTTATTTGTTAATAAAACAGGTAATAACCCTGTTTTTGTGGAGGTTATATACCAGTGAAGGGGACAGACAAGAAACAATAAGTAAACCATCTATGACCTGTGTTAGAAGGGGATAAACGTTTTATCACTCCTGCTCCTCAAAAAGGAAAAAGAGAGAGAGAGAGAAAGGCAGTGTAAAAAAGATATGGAGTGGTATAGGGAGAAGTTTAAAATTCTGAAATGGGTGAACAGCGTTGAGTTCACAGACAAATTAATATTTGACCAAAAACATGGAGGGCATTAAGTCATGTACATATTTGGGGAAAGAGCAGAATAAAAGCTAAGACCCAGAGGTAAAAGCCCAGGTGCTTGAGGCATAGCTAGGGGGCCCGTGAAGCTGAAGCAGAATGAATGAGGGGAGAAAACAGAGATGAAATTGAAGAGCTAACAGGGGTCACATTCTGTAAGGCAGTGGAAGCCACTGTGAGGACTCTCCTTTTCACTCCGAGATGGGAAATCACTGAAAAGTTTTTGTGTGAAGGAATGACTTTATACTTAATAGAAAAAAGAGAGAAAAAGTCAATCCTGTTGCTGTATGGAGAATAACATTATACGAGGTGTGGGTAGGAAAGCAGAGAGACAGAGGCACCACTTCAGGTGACCATGTGGTGGCAGTGGACGTGGTGAGACCTAAGTGGATTCTGGACATACTCTGAAGCTGAGGTAGCTAGAAATGTACTGTGTCAAACGCTCCTAAATCAAATGAGACAGGACTGGAACCAACTCCTGAATTAACAATTAACAATGTGGAGGTCACTGGTATCCTTAAAAAGTTCAGGGTCAGTGGAACTTCCTTGTAGTCTGTTTGAAAGAGAAATCAGAAACAGCAATGTAGAGACAATGCTTTCAGGTACTTTTCCTGTAAAGGGCAGCAATAAAAATGAATTTTCACAGAATTAATTTGAAAGGTAAAATGCTGTGCTTTTGTTTATTTGTTTTTAATTGAGGAGAAACAAACAGCAGCTGAGGAGGAATAATTCAGTAGAAGAAGAAAAACTGACGATGGAGGATAGAAAGATGGTAACTGCTGGAGCAATTAAATGGGAAAGAGGGGGCAAGATCTAGAGTGCCAGCAAAGGGACTGGTCTTTGATAGGAACAAAGATAGTTCACCTATAGGATCAAGAAGGAAGACAGATAGATGCTGGGAGGTGGGCAGATGTGACAGTAGGAATTTGCAAAAAACAAAAAACAAAAAACAAACCCTTTTATGGTTGCTTCTATTTTCTTAGTGATGCAAAGATATCACACCTAAGAGTAAGGATGAAGGTGAGCTCTGTTTTAAGATACTTTTATCTGGAAAATTCAAATGTGTTAACATCTCATTCCTTCATGAATTACAGTAGCATGATGGGCAGTTAAGAGCACAGTCTCTGTGAACAGACTGCCTTGGTCTGAAACCAGCTCTATTCCCTTCCGTCTGGTTTTGCGTAAGTTAGTTATGCTCCCTAAGCCTCAGTTTCTACACTGAAAAATGGAAAATAATAGTATCTACTTAAGGTTGTTTGGAAATAAAATGAGCTAGTTTATACAATGTTCTTAGAACAATACTCTGCACATAGCGATCACGAGATAAATATTTGCTATCATTATTATTAACACATTATGTGCTACAAATTCATTCTGTAGTAATGTAAAGCAAAGATGGGTACACCGGGCTCTTACTTATATAGGTTTTCTTGATCCGCAAAGTACAATCTGTTGCTAAACTTGAAGCTAAATTTTTATGTCCTCATTAAACAGCATTTAAGAACTTCAGGTTTTCACTTACACAGATGACTTCCCATTGCGAGGATCTTTGAATGTTGTTGTTCTTGTATTATGATCAACAAAGTACCTAACACCTTCCCGAGTATACCTAATTTCCCAGCCTTCTGGCAAGGGTTCTTCATTCTGTAAGCTAAAAGATAAAGTTAGAGTCACAAGGTGAATATTTTCTAGGTACTAAAAACATCCAAATCTAGGTTTACTTGATTCTATCTACAGATATACGTAAGATGACTTAATTAAGGCCACAGCACACACATACCCTTGAGTTCTGGGATCTTCCCACTGGGTTGTTTTTGTGTTATGATTCACAAAGTAAACCCTGTCGGTTGAATCCACTCTTTTTTCTAAAAAATAGAGTGAGCACAGCATTTAATGACTATTTACTATATATACCTTCAGGTATTTTTACCAACAACATATCAGCTTACCCCAGCCTGGTGGCAAAGGCCCATATGGGTCATTTTCTGCAGCTAACATTGAAGCCTGATTGGAGAAAGGGTTGGAGGGAAAAATAAAAATATTACTTTAATATAAAAGCAGAGATAAACTAAATACTTGGTAGAACCACATTTTATAGTGATTTTCTAAAAAATATGATAAAGGAATGTGAATATAGTGATTTCAAGACACAAAGTACATTTAAAAATGTTATGAGTTAAGAGGAATCCATCAGTTGATAAAATCATTAGTTTTTCTAAGATGATTTAGAAATAATATATTGAGGTCAATATTTTAATTTTTTAGCCCTTCTACAATAATCTGTTAGGAGTGAAATGAGACAGAAGAGCATACAGAAAGTTGTGGTGTTTAAATGAAAAATATTATTTAAAAGTACAATAATAATCACAGTTCTCTTTAAGACACACCTACTAATAAAACCAACATTAAAATCCAGTATCATCTTTATACAAGTAAATCCTTATCTTAATATTAGTATTCTTTTATATATTCATAAATAAAAACATTCATGCTTACATATATTATAACCCAGAAATATATTCAGAAGAAAATATAAACACTCTACTACCCATTTTAAAAGAATGATAAATATAAAAATCATCACCTGAAAAAGTACGTCTTAATGCATCTTGATAAATATTTTATAACCTTATAATAGATGTTGTTAATTTTACCCAATATCCATTTCCCATGCCTTCTTCCTTGACACTCAAACCATGGTTTTGTTTGAGGTAGCAATGTGTCCATCTAATATTCCATTCCCAGCCTTCCTCACAGCTGAGTTGGTAGAACGACCAATTCTAGCCAGTGAGCACTGGCAGAAGTCCCTGGTAAGGGCATCCCTTTTCGAGTAAAAAGGCAGGGCTTGCAAGATAAAAGCCATCTGCCCTTCTCATTCCCTTTTCCCTTTCTTCCTGTCTACAATGGGGAATGAAGCCCAAAGGGCAGCAGCTCTGTATGACCGAGGTAAGCACGAAGCATGGTAACGATGCACAAAGAATCTGGGTACCAGGTGGCATTACTAAGCCAATGTATGTGTTAGCCTGGACTTTTATCCCAGACTTGTGCTATACTTAGATAATTACACCTCAACCTGTTTAAGGATGTTCTATGCAGGAGAACACACTTCTACTACATCCCTATGACCTAATTCTGCCGTTTCCCCGAGGTTTTCACATACACAGCTAAGTTGACCCAGAACAAAAGCACACAGTACATAATTTCTTGTTTACTATATACAGCTAAACAACGAAACCTTACTACAGATTTCTGTACAAGTTACCAAAGAACCAGCAATTGGTGGCAGTAGGAGATGCTATGTAGGCTAGGTTGGCCCACTCCCTCTATGCTGGCTACAGAATACCAGGAGAATGGGTCAACCTGCAAATGAGAACTTATTATTTAACCTCTGAAGAAAATGGAGCTGAAAGAGCCAGCCTGAGGCAAGATAATGAAAAAAGAGTTATTTAAGTTTTCTTTTTGTGTCTTTCCTAATTCCTCCCTATCTGCTAGCCTCTACGTTTTGGGTTTTCAAGTTGATTCAAAACACTCTCTAGAGATGCCCGGTACTTAAAATTTGTATTTTCCACTTCCTGTGATCAAACCTATTTAACAAAGGTTTCCCTCTACCCCCTGTCTTTTTTTTTTTTTGAGACTTTATTTATTCACTTGACAGAGAGAGACAGAGCGAGAGGGAACACAAACAGGGGGAGTAGGAGAGGGAGAAGCAGGCTTCCCGCCGAGCAGGGAGCCTGATGTGGGGCTCGATCCCAGGACCCTGGGATCATGACCTGAGCCAAAGGCAGACACTTAATGACTGAGCCACCCGGACGCCCCTACCCCCGTCTTCTTGTGGATGTTTGCTTATGGCAATAAATGGACCATCAATTGGTCAAATTTTCAGATAGCATTAGATTTTTCGGACAAAACTATCTCCACATGAAAGTGCTGTTTCTGAGAATCTGGGATGGGAATCAGAACATCTGGAAAATGGCAATCCTGGTCTTAAGTAAGGTAACCAGTTTTGTTTAAAGCAAACAAAATGATTCCAATTAAAGGCAGAGAACTGGGAATTAGGAAAGACAAATTATTTCATCAAGAAATTTCACTTATGAAACTACCACTTAATAAAGACAAAAACTGTACTTATGTTAGTAAACTAGAATGAAAAAAAAACTTAAAGTGTGTATGTATATCAGAAATAATTATTTATTAAAGAGTAAATAAAAAATACCTTGCAGTGCAGTCTATAACATTTCAAAATCACCAAAGTAGAAAAGAGCAAATGCCTGGAGGAAGAGTTGTACTGACATCTCACAATCTGCTCTTACCGAATAGAGGTATCGCTGGTTGAACTGCTGCATCGCTCCCTGCAACTGGTTCCGCTGAGACTGCCACTGCTCAAAGTTGCGGACAGACTCCATGGTGGGTCGCTGCCACGTGGTTGTTCTGGTGTTATGATCCACGTAATAAACTCTGCCGCGATCATCAACTCTTCTTTCCCAACTACCACCAACAAAGTAAGCGTGAATAAAAATTGAACAGAAACCTGAAAGTATTTAGTTAACAGTTCACTCATATAATCTAAAAATCAGAGACACAACAACGTAACTGTAAAATTTTGAATATGTAACTTGCTTTTTTAACTAAATTGCCTTCCCATTCTACCACTACATTATTTCTAAGAACGGTCTAAAAAAGGGGCCAAAGACTGAATAGTCTCCATATCAATCTGACTACCCTCTCTCTTTATCTGGTTAAGAAGCTCCTGAGTGCTCACTGTACACCTAGTGATCTGCCCCTCCAGCCACTGCCCAACTTCAGGGCTGTAACTCAACCCTTAACAGGTCTTTAACTTTCCTGCTGTTATTCGGCTAAACACAAGTGCAGATTCAGTCATGACATTCCACCTATCACAGCTCTCTGGCACGGCATTAAAAATGAATCCATTCACCATTTCAGCCTCATCTCCCCTGAGCCCTTTCAAGGGACCTACACGAGAGCCAAATCAACTCACTTGCTGGTCCCAAGTGTGTATGTGTTTCACTTTGTCATCTCTTTGTTTGAATATTCCCTCAAAACAAAATGCCCTTTCCTATTTCGCCACCAACTGAAGTTCGCTCTATCCTCCCAGGTTCAGATAACCGTTAAGTCAATTTGTGCCATTAACTTAGTTATGTAGCTTATTCGAGGGACAAGGCAAGCCTAGAGTTCTCCTACTTACCCCCATTCTCAGCTCCCTCACAAACACTTCTTCTCTGTGCCATTAACTCATACAATGATTTAAGAGTCCTTTCAGCAACCAATCTCACAAAAATAATATTACTTGTCTTGAATTTTCTGGACTTGGACCGTGTTTTATATTGGTGGACTTTAAGTTACATCTGGAAGGACAGATACTCTTGAGTGTGTAGCAAAGACAATAAGGAAAATATTGCAGGTACAGGCAGAGTGGGGTTTTTTTGGTATGTACGTATGTATGTATGTATGTATTTATTTAAAAGATTTTGTTTATTTATTTGAGAGAGAGAGACCACAAACAGAGGAGGAGGGGCAAAGGGAGAAGCAGGCTCCCCATGAGCAGGGAGCCCAATGCGGGGCTCAATCCCAGGACCCCAGGATCATGACCTGAGCCGAAGGCAGATGCCTAACTGACTGAGCCACCCAAGTGCCCCTCAGATAGAGTGTTTGAGAAGAATATAAATAATAGGGACGCCTGGCTCAGTCAGTTAAGCGTCTGCCTTCGGCTCAGGTCATGATCCTGGGGTCCTGGGATGGAGCCCCACATCGGGCTCCCTACTCAGTGGGGAGCCTGCTTCTCCCTCTACCTGCTGCTCCCCCTGCCTGTGCCCTCTCTCATGTGCTCTCTTTCTGGCAAATAAATAAATAAAAATAAAATCTTAAAAAGTAGACAAATAATATAATTCAACTAGCTATCAGCACTATAATGTGTATAAAGAGTTATGAAAGATAAGAACACAAAGGAAAAGGAAGATCTGTTTGTGAATGACTGTGAATGACAGCCTAACAGCATGAATTTATTTAGCCGGTAATAGAAATATTTTTATTCATTTAAGACCCTCTATAATTTTAGCCATAATGTAATACAATTTTACTTATAGTAATCTTTTAGTTCATAACTTTGAACCACTCTCACATCTCTTATATCATTAAATCCCATGTAACATAGCTTAGACCACTATCTTTGGAGAACCATACATATGAATTTTCCTAAATAGGCCTTTCATTCCTTAAAAACCAATGATAAGCACTACAATTGGACCAAAATTCCTTAACTACTCTCAGTAACTCATGCCAGTGTTTGACAATCTCTTGAGGAAGCCCCTTCAGACTAACTGTAGAAGAGATATGATATAACAAATCTCATTTACTGAAATTATTTTTCACAGAAGTAAATGAAGGAAATATAACATGCACAATGAATCATTTTATGTTGTAATAAGTAAGTTTAAGAAATCAGATGTATGATAAAACACAACTGGAGATGCATAAAGATGCCACATTACCCTGGAGGTAAAGGTTGCGGCCTCTCCCATGTGGTCGTTCGAGTGTTATGATCCACGTAATAAGTTCTACCATGAGGATCTTTTCTCTGTTCCCACCTTTAATAAAAATGCAAAAACAAAAATAAAAGATAACTAAGACAATCTGAAAAATCATTCCTTCTTATAATCAGGAAAATTACCGATAAGTCTTACTTTAAAAGATTATATATACACACACATATAAAGTTTCTTTTCCCAATTATTAGTGCCTTTTAAGTTCTTAATTATTCCCTTTCTATTAACAGTATCAGAAACTCAATAAAATAGTTAACAAAGGAGGATAAAGTAGTACCTAAAGTTTTAAAAAGTTACTAATTTATAGAATTTATCATCAGAAAATTTATTATCAGAAATGTATCATCAGAAAAGACAAATCAAGGGACGCCTGGGCAGCTCAGTCGGTTAAGCAGCTGCCTTCCGCTCAGGTCATGATCTCAGGGTCCTGGGATTGAGCCCTGCATCGGGCTCCCTGCTCAGCAGGGAGTCTGCTGCTCCTTCTCCCTCTGCCCTTCCCCCTGCTCGTGCTCTCTCTTTCAAATAAATAAATAAAATCTTAAAAAAAAAAAAAAAAAGACAAGTTTAATCAAAAGTAGAGGAACTTTCAGCCTAATATCACACTCAAGGCACAAAATGTTAATGAGGTAATATTCACTTTTGCCTGCAATTTCAAAAATACATATCTAAAAGATTTTAGCAGAAACTGCATTTAAAAAGTGTATGTGGTGACACTGCTCCACAAAAATTCTTCGATATGCATACAGTGTCTTCTTTTTGTATACAACTATCTCCTTCTTGTTTCTGGTAAAACTCCTGAGTTTTTGGACATCCCAATTTCATCTTTTTCTGTTCCATCTCAAAGATTCTCAATCTCTTATTTTCCCCACTCTTATTTTCTCCTCTGTGATTCCTGTTTCTTCCTCTCCATTCTTTCTGTAATATGGTATAGAAGAAAAATGTTAAATATAAAATATAAAAACCTGCTTTTTTCTGAGTTTAACATTCTTGTTTTCAATTGAAAGTAAAATAAATGGAAGTATTTTTCTCTCTCTTAAACCCCGGGAACCAATTTAATTTGATTCCTCTTGGCCTTTAATTATTAAACTCTTTTTTTTTTTTTAAGAGTTATTTATTTTAGAGAGAGAAAGAGAGCGGAGTGGGAGGTGGGGCAGAAAGAGAGGGAGAGAGAATCTCAAGCAGAGCACAGAGCCTAACACAGGGCTCGATCTCATGACCTTGAGATCATGACCTGAGCCAAACCTAAGAGTCAGACACTCAACCCACTGAGCCACTCAGGCACCCCTAAATTATTTTCTTACACAATGATTATACATATTAAAGCTATTCCCTAAGCAAGGTGTACACATATACACATACTTACTTAAAAAAGACATGTAAAAAAATTAAAAGTTTACTTAAGCTGCATCCAATAAACACAAGTCACAAAATGCTTCAGAAGTAACTATGAACAATAAAAATGCCCAAGTTCACAACTGACTCAGGATCATTTAAGTTGTTAACTTATCTATTAAAAAAGTACTGGGCGCCTGGGTGGCTCAGTTGGTTAAGCGACTGCCTTCGGCTCAGGTCATGATCCTGGAGTCCCGGGATCGAGTCCCACATCGGGCTCCCTGCTCAGCAGGGAGTCTGCTTCTCCCTCTGACCCTCCCCCCTCTCATGCTCTCTCTATCTCATTCTCTCTCTCAAATAAATAAATAAAATCTTAAAAAAAAAAAAAAAGTACTATTGCTCTCTTCCTTTTTGTGGCCTTCACTGAAGCACCAGTAGCCAAAATGAAGTTCAATCCCTTTGTGAATTCTGACCACAGCACACTTGAGTAAGTAAATATGGAAGGATTTGGTGAAATATATTACAATAAAATAACTGAATTAAGTTACTGATTGAATAACTAGCGGTTTCAAACTTGGATAATGGGACAGATAGTAAGACTTGCCTTCTCATAAACCACAAAGAACAGTTACCTCATTCTCTCCTGTACTGCTAACCTCTGTGTCCACAGACTCCTCCTCATTAGAAGCTGACTACCCTTTAAAGTCTCTCCCATTTAAACAAACAAACTTTAAAGTCTCTCCCATTTTATAAAACAAAAACTAACCCTCAGTTCTCCATTTCTTCCTGCGCATTTCCACCAACCAAACATTCCTTTCTCTGTGTGTTCACAGGTAAAAAGCTTTACATACCAGCTCTCTTTAAATGTTTTCTACACACTTCTACCCCTCCCATTCACTCCATTACACAGCACTCTGAATACAGCTCTATTTCCCAGAAACTGCTTTGTCAAAGGTCAACAATAAATAATCTGTTGTTAAATTCAATTAGTGCCTTTCAGTTCTTATCTTACTTAAATTTTTTAGCAGTTTTTGACCTTCTTAACCACTTCCTCAGAAGCATTTACAAGCCAGAGCCTTTGCCCAGTTGTTCATTCACTCAAAATCATTTAATTGGGCACTAATTCACTTATTTAACAAAATTTATTGAGTACCTGCTATATGGCAGGCATGGTTTTGGGTACGAGTACAGAAGTGGACAAAATAAAGCCCTTTCCAGTCCAGTGGAGAGAAAACTGACAAGACACAAATATATGTCACATGGTGATTTAAGTGTTACAAAGAAAAATAATACAAGTTATGCTGATTAGAAGAACCCGACTCAAAAAATTCATGCTGATCTCGTTTATACTTAGTTCTGTAACAGGGAAAACTAATCTAAAATCTATAGTGGAAAAAAATCACAACAGTGATTGACTGAAAAAGGTACTTAGAGAACTTTCTGGGATAATGGTAATATTCAATATTTTGACAGGGGTTTAGTCACCAATGTATGTGTTTGTCCAAATGCATCAAAATGGTATGTAAACTTTACCTAAAAAACTTTAAACAAATATTGAACTCTAGTTAATGATAGACAAGCTGAAGTACTGAAGGGCAAAATATACTGATGTCTACAACTTACTGAACTGCATTTAAAAGTTAGATGGATAGAGAGATGAAGAGACAGGAGATAAAGCAAACAGAATCTACTGGTAGATACCAGGGTGTTCACTGGCAAATTCTTTAAATTTTTCTGCATGTTTATAAAATTTCCTAGCAAAAATCTGGGGAAAAATAAGACAGGGTAAGGGGATGGGTGCAGAGGGGACTGAATTAAACAGGGGGAATCAGAAAAGGCCCCTGGAGTAAGGTAACATTTGAACAGAGACCTGAGTCCTGCAGATATCAGAGGAATAACATTCCACACACAAATCTGGGCAAATGCAAAGGTCTTTGGGTGAGATAATGCTTGGCATAATACTCAAACATCATCTCCAGACTGGAATACTCTTCTCTCAGAACACTCGTAATTTCATTGGTAATTAGCTAAATAGCTGAGCAAGTTACAAAAGAGAGGAAACACAGGAACTAAGAAAGATTTTTGAGGAAAGAGAGAAGATGATGTAAATTTGAAAACCGCTAACTCAGACAAGTTACACAAAGAGAGTACTGCCTAAGCCAGAAGAATCAACCTTGGTTCCATTCTTCTTTTCTACTGCCTCCTCACAACTGATTACCAGGATACATGTTATCATCACCTTATGAGACTAGTGTCCACCTTAGTGCCGGCTATTTTAATTTTTCACCCGGATTAGAAGTTTCTAAGCTTTTCTTTTTTAAAGCACCTTTTTTTTTCTTCTTAAGATTTTATTTATTTATTTGAGAGACAGAGAGAGAAAGAGAGAAAGAGAGTGCGAGCAGGAGTGAGGAGGAGAGGGAGAGGGACAGACTCTAGGCTGAGCGCGGAGCCCGACGCTGGGTTCGATCCCAGGACCCTGAGATCATGACCTGAGCCAAAACCAAGAGTCGGACACTTAACCAACTGAGCCACCCAGGTACCCCTGCTTCCGAACTTTTTTGATGACAGTTCACAGAATAAGAAATATGTTTTAAATAAACATCTCTGTGTGTACTAGAATGCTATTTACCTACAGATTTTATACACACAAACCCGCACCAGAAAAATAAACTTTCTGGAAACAATGTTTACTCTCACTACAACTAACACTCTTCAGTATTTTCTGTTCTGGTCTATACTGACTTACTTCAATTATGTGTTCAAATGCTGGTCATAATCTGCTAATGGGGTGCAACCTGCAACTTGAAAATCACTTATGTAGGTTACTACAAAAGTCTCCTAACACAAAGATCACATATGGTGGCTACAGGCATGCTGAAGCATTTATTTGGCCCCCACAGAATTAAGTTTATGTGCTTATTATCATTTTAAATCATAATGCCTGCTTCTCTCATTTATAAACCATCCTGGCTGCCATCCTAACTTGTCTCCTTGACTCCTAAAATCTGTCTATACCACTGCTAGAATGAATGACCTAACTAAAATGTAAACAGGACAATGCCACAACCCTGCTTAAAATTCATTAATGTTTATTCATGGTTTTCAGGAAAATACTCCCACACTCTTAGAAGAAGTATACAAAATTCTTCATAGGACTGTTTACTCTTTAGTACTACATATGTCACTTCCTCAAATGCTGAACTCAAGCTGTAACAAAATACTATTTCCTGAATTCTACTTATACATTTTTATGGATGCCAGAGATCTGAACATGCAGTTGGCTCTACTGAGAATGAGCCTTTCACTACTGGAGCCTACATTATTGCTCTGCTAAGTCCTAACCCTCTGTCAGAAATGCACTTAAGGGTCATCTCTTTCAGAAAGTATTCTTTGATCTCAATAGTGTAGGCTACTCTCCTGAAAGATCTCTGTATATGTTCCCACCCACAACCTGCTAAACTGAGGTCTAGCCCAGCTTTAACTATGCGGTATAGTTGCTGCTTACTTACCTTTACCCTCCCATCAGACCAAGAGGTTCTTAACAGCTTCTTAGATATACGTGTCCCAGTGGCAGACACATGAAACTAGGATAAGTGACTAAGCTGCCAAAGACCGAAAACGAAGGGACAAAGAGATTTTTGAGAGAGAAGGGAAGATACTGTAAGGTCTGAAATGCTGGCAGGAAACAAGTGGGGATTTCCAGAAGTAGCTGAAAATAAGCTCAGAAAAAGGTCTGGCCCGGACAAACAGATTTGATAGTTACAGTGACGGGAGAGCATGAGCACCAAGAGAGGAAGAAGAACATGCGAGCAGAGGAACAAAGGCTAAAAAAGGCTGAAACCACTATTAGGCAGTGGGCAAATCAGATGAGGCAGCAAACAGCACTGAGAAAAACAGTTCAGAAAATAAGACAGGGCTATGAATACAATGACTGCGATGAGAAACCGAGGGCAGAAGACCTCTAGCAGTGCAGTTTCCACAGCTCCGAGAGGAGCCCTGCTAACTGCTGCGAGCTGTGCAGGGAAGCGCTGCGTCCGTATGTCTATCGCTGCACCATCAAACTGCACCACATATATGTGTACAAGTCTGAGCCACTGGAAATAAACTTTTTGAAGTCCAAGACAATGAATGATTAACTCATATTAGTATCATCAAAGCCAAGTAAAGAGTCAAATAAACCTGTTAAGTAAATCTGGGAGAGATGACCAAATGGAATACACATATAGAGTAACTCTTTAAAGGAAATCTTAGGAAGCTGAATGTTTTCAACGGGAAAATTTAAAGGGAACTAAGAATTATTAAGCAGCAACAAAAACCTGAATTTTTAACAGAGGTAATCAGCAGAGTTAGGTGACCTTCCCAGCACTCAGTGCTAACTGAGAAAAAGGATGGCCACATTGGGGCCTGGGGAGCAGACCATAAAGGAAGCTAGAGAACTGAAGTAATTATATAGTGTTATGATCATTCTTCTCTAGAAGTAAAAATAAACCAAGAATCAAATCAAGTGTGTCTTGCAAATTAACACTAGGTTTTTTCTTTTCCCTTCATACTGCACATACTTCATTAGTTAACTGTCCTCAGTTTTAAAAAGTACTTGGTTTGTGGCAAATGAATTATATCAATCAGATTCTGACTTCGATTTCAAATTACTAAACAATGGAAAAATTTTATATACACATTCAACAGTCATATTATTAAAAAGTTGCTATTCAAATGTAAGTCAAACTTCTAAAGCAATATATTTAACATACCCTGATGGCAAAGTTTCTGTGTTGGTATTTCCAGACTGTTGCCGTACAGGTTCCGCACACCCATCTGGCTGTCTTAATTTGGCTGCCTCAGTAGCAGAATTATTTCCAGAATTAGAGGCAGCAGGGTCTAAAGTACTTCTAGCTTCAGATCCAAATGCTGCACTGTTAGAAAGAATACATTCATTGTTTTCTGAGGAAGTCAGTATTTCTTGTGGAGGATCTTCAACAGTAGTAGTAGCGCAATTTGAAGACAAGGCGGTTTCTTCAGGTCCTGTTGCAGTACCCGTGGTGGAAGCATTATTGGTTGGTGCAGATGAGGATGATTCTCCATTAACTGAAAAGAGAAAAATCAGTAAGACGAACTGTCAAGGAATGATAAAGCCAACAACTCACCAGTTATACTTATTTAGTTCCTAATCCACCCTGAGTAATGTATCAGGTACTGATGAAAATAATGTTTTCTCTTGCTTACATTTTACAGATGAACATATAAATAATAAAAATTTAAGAATACAGTTGACCCTGGAACAACACAGGTTTGAGCTATGCGGGTCCACATATATGCAGATTTTCTTCAAGAAATACAGTACAAACCTTTACGAGTTTCTTTAACATTTTCTCTATCTTACTGTACTGTAATACAGTATATAATAGATATACAAAATAAGTGTTGACTGTTTATGTTACTGGTAAGGCTTGAGGGTCAACAACAGGCTATTAGTAGTTAAATCTGTGGGGGGACTCCAAAGTTATACAAAGACTTTCAAATGGCAGGGGTTGGGGGTGGGGTGATGTTGGTGTTCCAAACCCCTTGTTGCTCAAGGGTCAACTGTGTGTATACACACACTAATAACCTTAACTTAAGGAAAAGAGAAACCAGCATGAGTATAACATGTTTTTCCTCCAAATGATCAATTCTGAAAGTCTGCATGGTTTATATAAAAACTTTAAATGATCCCTTTCAATCTCCCTTTTCATATGCAAATGGTAGTAATATCAAAAGGGTAGCTAATATCAAAAATGCCAATGGGGCAGATAAACAGTGGCATTAATTTAGTACTACAGGGGACTGCCAAAAAGATCCAGAAATTTATTCTACATTTTCTGAAGAAATGATTCAGTACTGGGATCCACTAATACCATTTTCTTAATGTTCATTTTAAATGTGATTGATGAATTTCAATTATGTGTCACTATTAAAGTGAGCCAAATTAAAACTACAAACAGATTATTAACCAAAACCAAAGAAAATGCCACATAAAATTCTAATTGAAATGAGGGAGGGAGACCTAATAAAGAGTAATGGAATCATCAGGTAGATTTTTAAAGAAAGAAAAAGATTTAAATAGTGGAAAGGAAATGTACTATTAAAGGAATCAAACTATAATTACAAAAAAAACAAGAGAATGAATTAAGTTCTGTCCAAATATGGGGGAGAGAATGGCTTGGAGGAAAAAAAAATACAAGAATTAAAATATTTACAGTTACCCTCTATCAAACACTGTTAGATAACACCGAGAAATGAAAAGAGAATGTGCACAGAGAGACTAAATTCTGGTGTCCTCTATATGATGCTCACTTAAAGAATTATCTCATTTAATATTTACTCTTCAACAGTGCAGAAATTAATTTCCAAAAATGGAAAAGCTTAGCAGCAGTATTTTCAAAGCAAAATAACACTAATTGGGAAAAGAGGAATAATTGAGAAAAGATAATCCAGACCAAGAAGAAACAGTCATTAACCTTTATGCATGCTAAAACACAGCACACAAAACACAAACCGTGAGAAACAAAGGAAGAAAATGAAATATTAAATAGCACCATTCAGTTGTTCAAGGCAGAAACTTCTCTTCTACAATAATTCAACAGCAAGTGCTCGCAGCTCTTCCTCCATCTGTACCACTACCTCCTGGTCCATCATTTCTTGCTTTCAATACTGGCAACAGCCTCCGCATTTTAGTCAGCCTGCTTTTTCTCTCGTCCAACTACAACCCATTCTCCAAATGACAGCCCAAAGAAATCTTTTTCAAAACATGTAACTGATCTTTTCACTCCCCTAATTAAACACACCAGTGAATTCCTACGACTACCAGAATAAATTCCAAACTTTAACCACGGCCTATACTAAAGACTACATTAATCTCCACAGCTACCCTTGATTTCTCATAATGGCCTTTCTTCTGTTCCTTGAATAGAACAAACTCCTTCCCACTTCAGAGATGTGCACTTGTGGTTCCCATGGTCTTGGAATTTCTCATGACTGGCTTCTCCTCATCATTTCGAGTACATGCTCAATTACACCTTCAGAAACCACTTGAGGCAGTGCTTCAGTACCCTATTTAATGCTGTTCCTGCCACACCCTAACCTGTTTAGGTTCTCATGTTCTGAAATCATTTTATGTATTTGTTTTTATTTCTTTTCATTAAGTTCGGAGTGTGAAAGCTTTGTCAGACTTGTTCACTCTTGTATTCCCCAACTGTTACAAAATGCCTGGCATATGAAAACAGTATTTGTTGAATCAATAAATTAAAAACAAATCACAGAGGAAGAAATGAACTGAACATACCTCCCTCAAAACTATGCAGATTAAAGAGTGTTAGTAGAAATATTAGTTAAGCACATGAAGAATTTAATAACACAATATATCTGACTTAAATTATAGTTAGTTTCTTACATACATATTCCATCCAAACACTCTAAAAATTTTTAGAAAACCTGACATGTCAAAGACCAAAGGAAAATCCCCAATTATACAATAAGGAGGCCACATTCTAACTACAATAAAACTAGAAACAAGCAGGGTGCCTGGGTGGCTCAGTCAGTTGGGCATCTGCTTTGGCTCAGGTCATGATCCCAGGGAACTGGGACTGAGTCCCATATCGGGCTCCCTGCTCAGTGGAGAGCCTGCTTCTCCCTCTGCCTGCCAGCACCCCCTGCTTGTGCTCGCTCTCTGACAAGAAAAAACAAAAACTAGAAGCAAAGCAATACAAAATACAACTTACTAAAATGTTTACTGAAAGTCTGACATAATCTGCTAAACACTTTTTAAGGGTTATTTTATTTGGTCTTCAAAGAACAATGCTGAGACAGATACCAGCATTATTCCCATTTTACCAGTGAGAAAACTGATACTTTTATGTCCCTAAAAATGATAGTTCTCCCCCAATCCACAATCAATTTGCTTACAAGATAAACTAAATACTAAGTTAAAGAGGAAATAATAATGAAATTATAAACTTTAGGGAAATTAATGGCAATGAAAACAACTGTATCAAATGCTACTGGACAAAGCCAAAGACGTATCCAAGGATATAAGGAAGAATGGCAATAAATGAGCTTAACAGTCAATTCCAGAGCCAGGCAGGAAAAATGGTAGAAGGAATTAAAAGAACAGTAAAACAGATTAGAATTTCCTAATTTACCTGAGAAGAATCCGTTGAGATCTTGTTGGAACTATAGATCTCAGTTCCCATTCTAGACTTAATGAATTTCTAGGGGAAATCTCTAAGGAAGGGTCTGGGAATCTGTATTTTTAACAAATGCTTCAGATGAATTCTTACCGGTAAATTTGGAGAAGCCATTAAGTATACCTTTCTGAGTTTTATAAAGAAAAACATACATGAATAACACTAGGAATGTCATGAACCACTTTATATCAGTAAGTCTCAAATATATTAACTATGGGGTACCTGGCTGGCTCAGTTCCTAGAGCATGTGACTCTTGAGCCCCACTTTGAGTGTGAACATTACTTTAAAAAGAAAAAAATCTTAAAAAAAAAAAAAAGCTAAGCTCTGAAATATATTAACTAAGTTAACAGAAAGACAAATTGAAAAGACATCATGGGGCACCGGGCTGGCTCAGTCAGTGGGACATGCGACTCTTGATCTCAGGGTTGTGAGTTTGAGCCCCACGTTGGGTGTTGAGATTACTTAAAAATAAAATCTTTAAAAAGAAAATAAAAAAGACTCATCACAGTAGAATGAAAAAGGTGATGAAATATCTAATATCATTCCACCAAAGAGCACAAGACTCACTTAAGTTTTCTGAGAAAATTCTATGAACCCTTCAATGAACAGATGACTCCCATGTTATTTAAAGTGGTATAGTACATTAGAGAAGAAAAAGAAAAATTGAGTTTCTTAATTTATTCTGTGAGGGTAATACAGCTCTAGAGTTGCAACTAAATAAATTAAAAGATAGTTCAGTATTAGGAAATTATGTTAGGAAATCAACTATGCTAACACATTAAAAAAAGCCT